GAATATAAACACTTATTATAGGTGTACCGTAGTGATTCAGGACAAGCCAAAAACACGGTTTGGAAAATGGATTCATGGTGTACTCGCTTATTATATCAATTTTGAACACAAAAAAATTACGGACTGCAGCTTTAAATATACATATAAAAAAAAAAATTTAACTACTAATGTTTAGGCTTAGTACGATTTTTTATCAAGAAATTAATACTTTTATTCAGCAAGGAAGCTTCAAATTGATCAAAAGTGACAGTAAAGACTCAGATTTCAATTTCAAATAAATGCTGTTCTTCTGAACTTTCTGTTCATCTGTGAATCCTGAAAAATCAAATGTATCACAGTTTCCACAAAAATATTGTGCAGCACAACTGTTTTCAACATTGATGATAATCAGAAATGTTTCTTGAGCAGCAAATCAGCATATTAGAATGATTTCTGAAGATCATGTGACACTGAAGACTGGGTTACACACACACACACACACACACAAACATATATATATACATATATACATACATACATATATAAATATATATACAGTACATACATATATAATTTTGCTTTATTATTATTACTTTTATTATATTATTATCATTTTTATGAATTATTATGATTTATGTTTAATAATGGTTTTATAACTGATTATTTAATTCTCATTATTCTTTCAAATTAAAAGGTAAGGACAAAATGTGTATATAGTGTTATTTCAATATCATAATTTGATATTTTGAATTAATATCTAAATTCATATTTTGAATGAGTTTTTATTTACAAATTTCTTATTTACATTTTAATTTTAGTTAAAGATTTACAAATTTAGTTGTGTTTTTTTTTATTAGTGTCATATTTTAGTTTTAATCATTTCAGTACATAAAGTTAGATTAAATGAAAACAACATAATTATAACTATAGAATAATATATATATATAACGATTTCTAATGGACTCATTATTCTTTATATTAATTTTAAAAAGTAATGAAAAGAAGCTTGATATGGCATATCTCAGATCCGTATGAAGAAAGTCATTCAGGTTTGGAGCAACATGAGAGTGAATAAGTAATGCTAAAGTTAATTTATCTCTGAGAGAGCAGGTGGCAGTGAGGCGATCGTGAGCAAACAGGTGTGTGGATGTGAGGAAGCGCGGCTGACCTGCTCTCATGCATGTTGAATGAGCAGCTACAGTAGATTATTTTCCATGAGGGGAAATGCTCATGTCTGTAAAGCACTGCATCGCTCGTACTGAGAAAACACCTGCATGTATTTTTAATGGCCACTCACACACGGGAGCGTCCCGCTGCGGAGTCCGAGTCAAAACAGTCATTCAAACGGTGGACTTTAGGAGTCTGATCCATGCACTCATGCTCGGACACATCTGTTTCCATGGTAATGGGCGGCCCTTCGGCCCGTGTGACCAGCAGAGGGAGCCGCTCATGCTCACAAACCCACAGGTTCAGAGTGAGTTCAGTCGAAACCTCACTCGAGCGCAGCTGGCTGCTTTCAGAGCGCTGACATACTCTGAGCATGTTTATTATTATTTTGAATTAGTTTTAATTGTTATATTTATTATTACACATTGTAATTAGCAATATTAGCAATATTATTTACAATTACTGATTAAATAATTACAATTTAATAAACTAACATGATTCTATTATTATTGTTATTATTATTATATTAAATGAATATTATTAACTAAGTCATTGTAGTTATATTGAAAGTATATTATAAATTAAATATATCTGTATCAGTTCAGAATACACTGAATATGCCAGAATATATCTTTGAGATACATATATTTTAAATTATTTATTAAAATAATATTT